AAAAAAAAAGATAATAATTTAAAAAAATGTGAAACTTCTGAATGATGATTGGTGGGAGAAGACCTCGAAGGAACCACAAGGTAAAACCGCTCTGGTCAGTGTTTTGAAGAAATTATTAAACGCCGGCGCTGAAAAAAGTGATGGCAGCCCGTACTCGAAAAGTTCCTTGACTTCTTTAAGATTTGGACTCAACAGACATTTCAAGGTGAAAGGAACTGACATTATTGGACCCAAAGTTCGCCGAAGCGAACAATTTTTCTAGCAAAGTGTGTGGACTTTAAACGGCGAAATAAGACTTTTCATTCACAGCATATAAGAAACGGTGCTCGATGCGTGTGCAAATCAGAAGTGTCTTCTTTTGCAAATGCTTTTGTAAAATGTATGATAAAACAATTATTGAATTCGGTTTTCGCATGATATCGTGAATTATCAAAATCTCGAGTCTGTGTAACTGGAAATAACTCAGACCTCGGTTTTGATAATTCACGATGTCATGCTCAACCTCATCCAATAGTTGCCTAGTATAGGGCTTGTGCGATTTTCAGGGCCTTTCTTTGTCTTCCTTCTTGTGGAAAATTAGACTTCGAACAGTCCCCCCTTTTCGGGGAATTCCGTCGCGTGGGTCAAAAACAAAACAATAATGAAAGATAAATAAACATAAATCAATTGATCTTAGCTTGCCGTTCAGAACTCTACTTTTCATCTACCTCATTTCCAGACTTCCGCGCGGCGTGCTAACATTATTGTTATTTTTTTTTTCGCTGATTCTTTTCTGATTCGCACGACGGACTTCGCCCAAAAAAAGTAGGAATTACTCTTATTCTAGTGGGAAATTTCAACCCTTTGTAGCGAGCTTAGATTTCAGCATGATCACAGTTTATGCGAGGAATTTCAGATAAAAAACTAGGATAATCAAGAGACCGTCTCTTTCGGAAAATCGCGATCAAGCGTTAACACAACGTTTATAACCCGGTTACCGAGATCTTAAACGATAACAAAAGAGAGAGTGATTATGGGAGATCTTGGAAACCGAAGTAGCCTGACTGACAAAGCTCATCGAAAGATTCGCCGAAATTTTTTAGTGAACGCCGTTCGGAGTTTTTACATCTGAACTTCCATTTCTCGGGAAGAAGCGCTAACTAGTGCATCTTATCAATCTCAGTGGTCGAGTTAAGATTTCTCATGTTAGCGACCTGATATTTTTCGTGTGAACAGAGGAGATGAGGCAGCTTGGTTGCCTCGCTCTCATGAAGAGGCGCCAGTTTTAAGCATAGTACTTCGTTCTTTCTTTTAGGTGAGCTTACTCCGTAATACTTGCTGGAGTACAAAAAAATATTGAATGCGCTTGTAATTATAAGTTTGCTTCACATTCTTTTTAAGTTGAGTCACAGGAAGCCCAAGCATTCTATGTATGCTCTCAGGATTTAACGGTCATTAATAGGAAGATCCAATATGCCGAATATGTGGAGTAGTACAGGCCAACATTTTCGCTGTATGGAATCTAACTACTGATATTAAATCATTCTTAAGTTCTTTGAAGTTAATATTTCCTTAGTATTAAACGCGATTGTGATAAATTTAGACTGAATTTTTTAAAAGTGTTCTCGTGTACCGTAAAAAAAAAAAAAAAAAAATACCGGGTATTTTGCACTATCGAAATTTTTCTATTTCCATTTCTTCCGGAATATCGACCTCAGTGATTTAATACCAAAAGAAAAAGAGATGTCTTTCGTACTGAGTAAATTGGTCTGGATTACTTCAGTTGATTAAACCTCTAATTTTCCATTTAAATATTTATCCTTGATTATCAATTTTCATGGCCTTTTAAAACGGCAAGAGAAAAAAAAAAATGTTCCGACATTTTTTCGAACAGTTTCATTTCCCTAACGTGTTAGATTTTACTATTTAACGGGCTTTTGCATACACTGGTTGTCAATTAAAAAATAAGATATAATTTCTCATATGTAATTTGTTCAAACTCAAGCTAAAAAGCAAAAAAAATAATCTTGTGGCGGAGAGAAAAAGCACGAGCAAAAATTTCGAACGGAAGGAAGCTCGTGGAAACCGGAAAAGATTTACAGTCTTATCTTTTAGTAAAATTGTAAATAAAAATTATAGAAACTATACTCAACAGAATACGTTATTTTGATAGGGAGGAACTAGGGAATCGAAAGGGTTGAAAACTTGGCGTTAAACTAGCTTTAAAGTGCTACTGTATGTTACTTGAAAACGTTTATAAATAGACTGATTGAATTATGCGTAGCTATTAATGCCTTTGTAGCTTACGTTTTGCACGAGAAGTCTATTTGCATTATATAATGGTCCTTTCTATGTTTTCATCACAATGGAATTAATGCAGTGATCCTTGTTGAAAGACGGAAATTATTAAAGCTAAGAGCTTTGTTTATCATTCGCTTCGTAATTAAGTGACGCCTTAAGTGAGTCTCGCAGAATATTCGATCGGCTTTCGTCGGTTATAAAAATTCGGTAACCAGAGATCACTTTCAAATGGATTCTTGTACAAGCCGGATAAATTATTATTTCGTTTGTTTACCTTTAGATCGCAGGCCGGTCACAGCGCAAAGATGAGAACAAACGCCAAAAATCTTGTTATCTGAAATTTACATAATTGTTCTGTAGATTACTGAAATTTGAGAAGTGGACGAAAATGAAAATGATAACTTCTCGACCTTTCTCTCTATTCTTCGGTGATCAAAGGTGAAAAGATTTCCGCTGTTAGGTGACAAACTTGTAGTCATTTCAGTGTAGTGCTTTGCTTTACTCTGGTGTATAAAATGGATTGAGCAAACACGCCGCGGTCGTATTTTTGACCGCTTACCAACTCACCATTCATATGTTAATTCTCTATGATACCTCTGCCCTTGTGATGTCATTCACGTTTCAAATTAGTCGACAGCTCCAAAGTGAAGAACAGGCAGAGTAGCTCGGACTGAGCGAAAGTGATCCGGAAATTCAACGACAATGATAGCTAAACTTTTCCTCTTCTGGATATCCCTGACAAGACTGTCATTCGAGCAGCTCTTTACATATTTTGATTTATACGACGCGGTACATCTTCTGTTTTTAGGAGTCATCGGCATTTGCTTGAGAATAGTTCAGCGCGGGTCATGGAGCGCTAATAAGAAGGTCCGATCAAGTCTTCGATCGTCCACCGCTTCGGGGAAAAAACGTGGTTCCGTCTCTTTTGCTGCCGGAACGAAATTCTATCCCATTCAAAGCCATACTAATCCGGTAGGTTAATAGTTTTTTCATGGTTTGTTAGAGGAAAAACCGTTCCATATATATAATTTACAGAGCATCTTTGTGACCTCGAGGCATCAATTTTCATCGGTAGCCTCTGCAGACAATTTGTTCACAACGCAGCTGGACTTATATTGAATGTGGTCAACATAACCTGGGGCTCTTTGGTAAGGCTTTGTAAACAGCTTTTCTCTTTTCGGTTTTTCAGCTAAACTGGACAATATTACGGAACGTGGGCTCCTTGTCAACAATGTCAGAAACTTGGAAAGCGCAGCGATCTTCGTTGAAAATCTCACTGACCACAGATGATGGGGAAGAAGTGACAGAGGGGGACAGGTACACGTTGTTTTATTATTATTTTTCGTGTGAATCTAACCCAGCCCTCGGTTTTTTAAGAGGAAGCTGCTATGCGTGTGAAACTGATGATTTTAGCTTAAGTTTGTAATTGTGGTGGGATTTAATCCCCTGTGTTTTTAAAACGAGCTATATTTCGAATGTTCGAAGTTGCTCTTGGTTCGAGCCAGCTGTTTTTTTTTCTCCTTTTTTTACATTCATTTTCTTTTGCATAAAGCTGCACGGATAATTGCTTCAAGCTCATGAACAGACTGAATTTATTTACATTCTGTCAAAGATAGTTCTCATGTTTTTTTTTTGTTTTGTTTTGTTTTTTTTTTTCATATGTATTGACTAGTTTAGCATTTTTAAACAGTTCCTCAGGTGAAGCGGGAAATATTAGGAGAAGCCGGTTTCTGACATTGGTGAAATTAAATTCCCCGCTCACATTGGGCGTTTGTGTATTCTGTGTTCAAAAGAATTGTCAAGAATTAAATAAAGCTACAAATAGTACGTCTGTTTATCGTCTGCAAGCAATGTTATAGACGATTGATCGCACGAGTGTTCAATTTAAACGTACTTTACGGCCGATTTATTCTGAATTGCAAGAAATCGAGAGGCTGATCGGACATAACTTGTAAGTTTTCTGCGGTTTTTGTATATATCATTATTTTTGAACGGGAAATTGTTTATTTTTCCAACCTCATACGTTTGACAGGACTTGGTTTCCCAAATAGCTGTTTCGGCTGTGAAGGGATCGTGTACATCTAATTTCATGTTTTTCTGTTATCGTTCGATCAAAGATTTTGGTGAAGGATTATTTGATATCTTTGTTGATGTGTGTTAAATTATAGGGATTTCGCTTCAGAACGACTACCGTATGCTATAATTTTTGACCATTCCAGTTTTTTTTTTTTGACGTTATTTAGATAGAGAGCACCGTGAAAAAAAATATTGGTTTTTTTCTCATCTTGCTTTACGCGATCCTAGTATTCTTACAGTGAATCTTAAAATAATTTTGCGACCCATTTCTGATTATAGGCTATTTTGAGTTCTCGATCTGTAAAGACAGCGGTTGAGTAGTAAATTTGGGCAATTTTGTGATTGTGAAACCGAAAGATGTCCGCTAAAAACGTATTGTTGATCAAGATTTAGTAAGAAATTATAACGAACAAACAACCTACAAATGTATAAGTTGGATTTTTTAATTGAAAATCTTAGGAGAAAGCGTGTGAAAAAAGATATATATATTTAAAGGATGTACTTAAAAAACACAAAGTCTTTTAGTTCGAGTTGTCAGTGTCTTCACCCTGTCGCAATTTATTAACACCTAATATTTGTTGCTAGTGCATGATGATTTTATCCTGTCTGATTATCATAATTATGTCTAATATCAGGAAAAGGAAATGGGTTATCTATTTTCTTTTGTTTTTAAAATTTTCAATACTTTTGTTACTGTGGTGTGCCAGGTGAACCCTACAATTAGGTGAAGTAGGAGACATAAATGTGCAAATTTATTCTGAATTGTTGTGAATTATTTAAAATACTGGATCTGGAAAATGTGAGCTTCACAACCTTTGACAAGTCATTGTGCTCTGCATTTGAAACCTTTCACAAATGATAGAGCAAAAAGCAAATATAAAGGCACAGGATTCTTTACCTTTGAGGGCTCTGTCTTAGCTACTGCAAAATTAATGATTTTAGTTGTAGATATGTGTTTTACAGATGCCTTTGTTGTCACAGTGAGTTAGAATAAGATCAATTTTGATTCCAAAAGCTCAAACTTACAGTGCAGCCAACAGGTTTAATCATTAGGTTTAATTGAAGATATTATAAAGCGAATTTTTTAAAATACAATGCAGTATTTTGTTCAATGAATGTCTTTGCAATGCAGTCTAGGTGCTATTCCTATAGTAACAGTGAAATATGAACAGGCAATGTTTTTGTTATCTGTGTTATGGTTATGAAATAAGTCTCAGATGAAAAGACAGTTGATGAAAGAACTGTGGTAATTTAACGATTAACTCTTTAACTCCTAGAAGTGATTAACATGTAACTTCTTCCTACAATATGTATAAACTATCCTGCAACCAGGTAATGAGAATACTCAAACTTATCAAGTAGTTGCTATCTTGATCTAACAACAAATTCTTGTAATTAATCTGCAAAAAATGTGTAGCAGCTAGAGTTGAGAATTACCAATTAGAATATGGGACGTAGAGGTTTAAAAGAACATACACAAGGCTGTGCTCTAAGAAAAATTGAAGGGAGCCCTGGCCAGTGCTCTGAAACTGTGAAATCCAGGGTGCTCAGCATATGCTTTTTATGAAAAAAAACTAAGATTCCTGAGTGGCCCAAGAGCAAAAGTAAGGTGCCAGGGGTCACTGGGTGCTGCTAGAGCACAGCCCTGGTACACTTGCTAAGCAAGCACTAGCTGTTAGCACAAAAAGCAAGTACTGTTGTCACTATTCACCCGGGTAGCCAATAAGACAAAATTGCTCGTCAAGAGTTTCACTTCTGACTGGTATATTGAAAAAAATAAACTAATTTCTTTGTATCTGAGTGATCCATACTGATTAAAAAGCAATCATTGGCCTAAATGTTGTTGAAAGTAGTAGATATTTAACTAGGTAGCTTTATGGCTTGAGAAATATCCACCAGTATTCACCTCCACTTTGGTGAATAATTGTTAATTATTGCTCCTGTTAATAACCATGTTAGATAATTCCTCTGTGGTTTGTATATTTTAGTTTCCTCTTCAGTGTATTTTTTTCATCTCACCATTTTTGCATTCTGCAGTGTCCTTAAGCATTAGGGAAATTTTGTATCTTGCACTGAGAACAAAAAAGAGTCAGAATGGAGTTACTGTAGTTTGACACACAGTGTATCTACACTGGATCTTGTTACTGCCTTCCTTGGGGTGGGTAGGAGGGAAATCAGGTTGCATTTTAATCCTTTCACTGCCATAAGTGACCAAGACAGAATTTCTCCTAACAACATCAATACAATATCAAGCAGACAAGGGATGAGAATAAAGAAAACTATCAACAAGGGTATTTTAAGTTGATCCAATACCAGATTTTCCAAACTTACATGATAAGAAATGTATGGCAGACAGTAAGGAAAATCCATAAAAAGATCTTCGGAGTAGTTTTGAAATTTTAACTGCTATTATTATACTAAAAGGAGCTAGGGATTAAATTTCTTTAAACCTGGATGAGAAGATACTTAATTATTTCCAAAGTTTGTAACAAATGTTAGATTCTAGGAAGGTATAAATTTGATTTAAATGTGTGTTTTTATGGGGGACACAACATGTTAATAGTGCATGCAGAAAAAAATTCCACTGTAGCCATAGCCTTGGATAGGCTTTAAATTGGCTCTTATTGTATGATGATGTAGTACTAATTGATTATCTTGTTGAACCAAGCTTCTGCTATGGACAGCAGTTATTTCTGATTTGAGTGCCAAGTAGGGTATGGATTTTTTCCATTAGTTTACAGTGTTCTTGTAGTAAAGGAATTTTAGAAATAGTTACCAAGGATGACAGGTGGTCAGAAGTGTAGAATTTTAATTTGTTTATTTACTTAATCAAACAAAATCAATCAAAGCAATCCTGAGGTGCAATTTACTTGAGGTACTTGAAAAAAATATTACCTCACGCATAGTAGCTTCATGAAAGTGTTTTTCTATTCTGACTGGTATTTTAATCTTGTTTCCAAAATGTAAATTGTAAATGCAATAGAGGTGTTTTTTTTTTTTTTTAAGGTAATTTAAGCTACCATAATCTATGACTGAATTAAGAGTGAAATTTGGAACCTGCCTCTATTTAAAACCAGAAAAATCTTGTGGGAGGTGTCATTCCTTAACCTTCAGGAGTGATTATCTCACGATTTTTCCTTATAATACCAATATGGTGTACACATGACAAAAGATGACCAAAATATATATATAGGCCACCCTATCAGCTCAAGTGTTTTATCCTCAAATGCTATGAAATTCTCTTAACTTTTTTCACAAGGAAGCCTAGCTATGGCAGCCAGAAGGGAGAACTGCTTATAAGATCTTGAGAGTTAATTTGAACAGTGAAAGAACTGCTAATTAAAAGTTGTATGCCAGATTGGAGGTCTCAAGTAATATAGCAGCTGCAATGACGACAGACAAAAAGGCCATTCACTTAGGAAATACTAGGGGTGAAATTTCATGTTTTTGTTGGCATATTTAGTCTGTCTTCTCCTGGGATTGTGGCTTCGAAGTTCAGGGTATAGTATTCTGTGGTGAACGAGGAAGGGGGCCTGATATAAATGGTGTAGTATGTATTTTTAATGGCCTGTAGCTGATATACTCTAAGGGAAGGATTACAGTGATGACTTGAAAGAATTCAATTCCTGTGGCAATTTGCACCTTTTCATGTTCAAGATCACACTAGTTTTATAACTCCTTATACTGTCTGCAATACAATTCTCATTACGTTAGTGAGGAGAATTTGGTATTGGATCGACTAATATCCCTTCATTGATATTTTTCTTTATTCTCATCACTAGTACTTGTCCACTTGATATTCTTTTGAGGTTGTAAGGAGAAATTCTGTGTTGATCACTTGTGGAAGTTAAAGAGTTTCAAAATTAAAGAATAATGAAGCTCCTGAAGAATATTCAGTCTTCAAGAAAACAGGAGGCTTTTTTTTTTTTATCTTATTCGAACAAGAACAACTTCAGCTACTTAAAGTGTTTTTGTTTCTTACTTTTTGTTTGTCTGGAACAGATGTATAACTTTGGTAAAATGGCAATTCTAGTAATTTGCCAAAGATAGACTGTCATTTGTTTTCACAAGCACGGGATGAAGTTTGAACTTACTTTTTAGTTTTGACTTCTTGTCACCTCATATTATACAAAGCAAATTTTATGAAGAGCAGATTCCATTTTGTCTGATCCAGTTATTTAATTTTGCCAGAGTGAACTGTTTATACAACAATCTTTGTTTGGACTGTACTGATTCAAAAT